AAAATAATTCCCGAATGGTCGAAGATTTCTAATATTGTTTTATTCTTTATAGATGAACATGCTTATAGTAAGCGCCATGATTATTTACACAAGTGTTTAACAACAGTTAGCGTCGTTACAAACCCTAATTTAGAATAATATGCTTTTCTTCAGGCCATCAACAAATAAATTCACCGTGACCGAGTGGTTTGCGCGCTCGCTTAGGAAGCGAGAGGTCTTGAGTTCAAATCCCAGTAAAGGCTTTTTTTTTCAAAATGTTTTAGTCAAATAAACATTGGATTGAATATCAGTGTTGCAATTAGTCTTATAGCAAATCTACTGCACTTAAAACGCTGGAAATCATTGGTGGCACTATACAAAACAAATTGGTTTATAATCTCACAACCTTCACCTTTCTGACATTCTGAGACCGAAACAAATTCAGCGCCTTCTGTGCTTTGATTTAACATGTAGTTTTAACGTGTTTAATGCCAGATATAAATGAATAATTGAATGAAAGAGATAGAAAAGGGACATTTTCTGACAGAATTCATTTCAAATATTTGGTAAATACCAATTTTCATTCAGATTTGATGGGAGTAAGTATTTTTTTAGTGTTTTTTTGTACATGACAGAATTCACATGGTTCCGGCCGATTACTGAAAACTGTCAGACTGATGTATTTTGCACTGAAATGCTGTGAAAAAATGCCGCATGACTCCTAGTTTGCTAAAGCTGCTATTATTTATCTTAGATGATAATGTAAGCACAATTGACTTTGATTTGATTGGAGAGTTATTAAAAAAGCCACGGGTTTAATGTTTATAGAACATACAGGTATTATAGTGAAATTAATTCTGGTCTGAGGCCAGTACTAGAAAAATTAAAACAAAAATCAAGCATATCGAGGGGGTAACTTATGCCGAACGTTGCGGTAAATGGCGGATGTCACTCCTTTTCTTCTTTCAATATACCGTAAATTTGACTGATTTTTAAATTAGCAGATTATATTAAATTTATATTATATAATTAAAGACCCCCCACTCGCATAATATGAAAAGATACTAAAAGGTCGGACAAACAATGTGAAAAGCCGGTTAGGATTCGGATTTATGCGCCGCATTATGCGGTCCTGTTCCAGAGTTCCTCTGGTGTCATGTGTAAGACAAAATATCAATTGTTTCAAACTTGAGATGTGTAATTTATATGTATGACAAAAACACGAAGTACCCGTACATTAAAAAAAAATATTTTTTTAAAATGTAATGCTGGGAGTTGAACCACCACCAGAATAGCTCGCAACGACTTCACTACAAAGTATCGTGCAAATAATATGACAAAAACGTATTATTTCACTATCCATATACACATGATTTACATTTTCGAAGTGTACTGATCCATGTTATATTCACAACGGTTCCGAAATAATAAACAATGCTAAAAAGACTTTAAGCTACTGTTCCACATAAAAAGGGTCTAAAAAAACATCAACATATTTTTACAGTCATTAAACATGAATAGAATTCTTTCCGTGATGTAACTGTGACATAACGGCTGTTCTGTTTTACTTGATACATATGTAAATACCACTCTTATCACACCCGTTAACTTGTAGAATATATAAATGTCAGTTTTAATGCAGCGTGCCCAGATAATATCTTCTTTTTTGTTTCTTTTTATAGACATAATTTTCTATGATATACTGTGCAGCAATCGATTGCAGAGTGGGGGGATGGACTCACAAATCGCAAAATTCTTCTCCTCGCAACCAACTGGTCTATTTGCAACCAATCAACGAATGCGTTTATAATTTAAGTCAATATTGATAAAAAAATGATTGTTGTTATCCTGTACATAAATTAAATAGGAAATTAACTGAACAATTTTGTTCTGATTACAGAGCATGTTTTATTCAAATTGTCAAGGGCAATTAACACTTTTGTCTTGTTTCAGTATTATATAATTCAACATATAATTATAGGTTTCTTGTTCCAGAACATTATCTTTTGCACCAGTATTAAATATTAGTATACTTTGCCCTAGATACAATAGTACAAATGCATAACCATGTTTATCAGCTCTCTTTGTAATTAAAAGTAAAAGCATATTAAAATGATATAGTTTTAAAAACGTACGAATACCGTCTATTACAACAATTTAAAACGCTATACTAGTTTATTTTTTTTATTTCACAATTATTCCATTCATTACAATTTAAATAATAATAAAAAGACATACATGTACACATAAAATTATGAAATATTTTACAACGCTATAAGCGGCTTAATTTATTAAAACGTTATAATTCACATTATTTTATATATTTGTTTATAGTCCCACGTCGTCCAACTCCCTAGACATCTGACATATTGCACAGGGTTCACAAAACAGAGTTGATAGAAAATCTTCAACAATTGAACCCTGAAAAGATATAGAGGATATTGAATGAGTGTAGGTTTAATACTAAATTTATTGCACGAGTTGAATAAAATCATAATACGCGAGCCTCTGGCGAGCATAATATTGTTTTATTCAACGAGTTCAATAATTTAGTATTGAATCTACACGAATATATTATTCTATTTATCACATATATCAAACATTTGTAAAATAAGAACGGTAAACTGTTAACAAGTCATTTTTCTTTGACGCGCCTATGGTGTCACGCTTATATTACCGCGCTTTAACGCTATGTTTATAGCGCAAATGACGTGGCGTCAAAGTGTTATTACACTAGTGTAATATGGTCTAGTGTAACATCGTTTTTATTAAATGGTATTTTTACACTCCTGTGCCGCGGTTTATGTGATAAATTTATTTAAACAAATTAATTTAAGCTAGATTGTGAAACAAGTTCTTGCAACTTATGTTAATCACTTTCGAGTCCGCTTCCTGGAACCGACCAGTACTGGTGGAATATGAAGAAACATGGTTTTCACCAGGTTTGGGCTCGAACCCATGATCCTGTGTTAAGAGACAGACACTTTAACCACCAGGCCCCGACGCTTCCCTTGAAAAGATATTGAATATAAAGATATGTGTCGCATATTCGATGCATGCGCCTCTTTGTTTTAAAATAAACAAAGAAGGAATAAGTTATACCAATTATTTTCACCTTTCGATAACTCAATTTTCATAAAATTGAGTGTGACAAGTTTTTGCATTTTATAAAGATCCAATATAAAACAGAGTTGGTTTAAATCTGTATATAACGTGAAATAGAGCTAATATTTTGAATAGTTTAGTATTTTCGTTGGATACAACGGGCTTCTGTAGCTTGATTTCTACAATACAATGTCATAGGTTTGTACTAAGGGAGAAAATTTTAAATGTGCACTCTTCAGTGACTTCATAAAGGACGGACACAAAAGTCGGCGAATATACATTTTTGGACGTAAGCAATAGGTACTTGAATAAGTAATTATTTATGATAAGTTAAAAACAATTATTTGGTGAATTTTGATATCTGGTCACTAAGTAAAGTTTTTAAAATGACATTTACTTTATTTGATGAATTAAATTGTTGTAAGAAATATAAGGTGGCTGATTTATGCCATTTCGTGTTTTTGTGTCTCAGCTCCGAAAGTCGAAAAGCGAAGACACGAAAACATAACTATTTGTTGTTATTTCGACTTTCGCCTTTCGGGCGAAGACACGAAAACACTAAACATTCTAGGCGAAATAACGAGACTTTAACACGCGAAGGGACGAACATTTCATTGTTTAAGTTTTCGTGTCGGCGCGGCGAAATCTTTCGTGTCCGCGCCCTTTGTTTGTCGTGTCTTCGTGTCTTTGCCTTGAAACATGAAAGTCGAAATAACGAAAATACGGCAGATTTTCGTGTTGTCGTGATTTCGTCCCGAAACGCGAAAGTCAAAATAACGACAATGTTTCTGGTTTCGCTTTCCTGTAGGCATGCGCAGAACGGTAAACACAAATGATCGACCAAACTTCAATGAAACATAGTCTGGTAAAATAAAGAGTTCCAGTATACGGAATCCGGAACACAGGATATTCTCCGACACGAAAACACATGAGATGTGTAATTTATATGTATGACAAAAACACGAAGTACCCGTTCATTAAAAAAATATTTTATTTTTTGAAATGTAATGCTGGGAGTTGAACCAGCACCAGAATAGCTCGCAACGACTTCACTACAAAGTATCGTGCAAAGAATATGATCAATTAGTATTATTTTACTATCCATACACACATGACTTACATTTTCGAAGTGTACTGATCCATGTTATATTTACAACAGTTCCGAAATAATGAACTATGCTTAAAAGAGTTTAAGCTACTGTCCCACATAAAACGAGTCTAAAAACATCAACATATTTTTACAGTCATTGGATATGCATAGAAGTATTTGAAGTTTCCGTGATGCAACTATAACATAGCGGTTGTAGTGTTTTTCTTGACACATGTAAATATCCCTTTTATCACACCCGTTAACTTGTAGATATATAAATGTCAGTTTTAATGCAACGCACCAAGATAATATCTTCTTTTTTGTTTCTTTTTATAGACATAATTTTCTATGAGATACGGTGCAGCAATCGATTGCAGAAGGGGGGAGGGGGTGGGCTCACAAATCGCAAAATTGTTCTACTCGCAACCAACTGGTCTTTTGCAACCAATCAATGAATGCTTTTATAATTTAAGTCAATATTTACAAAATAAAATGATTGTTTTATTATGTACATAAATCAAAGACACGATTAATGTACAATTTTGATCTGATTATAGAACACGTTATATTCTAATTGTCAAGAGCAAATAACACTTTTGTCTTGTTTCATAATAATACAACGTATATTTTTGAATTTCCTGTCCCAAAACATTACATGTTGCACCTGTGTTAAATATAAGTATATTTTGCCCTAGATATAATAGTACAAATGCATATTAAAACCATTTTTTCAGCTGTCTTTGTAATTAAAAGTAAAAACATAATAAAATGACATATTTTTAAAAACGTACGAATACCGTCTATTACAACAATTTAAAACGCTATACTAGTTTATTTTTTTATTTCACAATTATTCCATTCATTACCATTTATATAATAAAAAAAGACACACATGTACACATAAAATTATGAAATTATTTACAACGCTATAAGCGGCTTAATTTATTAAAACGTTATAATTCACATTATTTTATATATTTGTTTATAGTCCCACGTCGTCCAACTCCCTAGACATCTGACATATTGCACAGGGTTCACAAAACAGAGTTGATAGAAAATCTTCAACAATTGAACCCTGAAAAGATATAGAGGATATTGAATGAGTGTAGGTTTAATACTAAATTTATTGAACGAGTTGAATAAAATCATAATACGCGAGCCTCTGGCGAGCATAATATTGTTTTATTCAACGAGTTCAATAAATTTAGTATTGAATCTACACGAATATAATATTCTATTTATCACATATATAAAACATTTGTAAAATAAGAACGGTAAACTGTTAACAAGTCATTTTTCTTTGACGCGCCTATGGTGTCACGCTTATATTACCGCGCTTTAACGTTATGTTTATAGCGCAAATGACGTGACGTCAAAGTGTTATTACACTAGTGTAATATGGTCAAGTGTAACATCGTTTTTATTAAATGGTATTATTACACTCCTGTGCCGCGGTATATGTGATACATTTATTTAAACAAATTAATTTAAGCTAGATTGTGAAACAAGTTCTTGCAACTTATATTAATCACTTTCGAGTCCGCTTCCTGGAACCGACCAGTACTGGTGGAATATGAAGAAACATGGTTTTCACCAGGTTTGGGCTCGAACCCATGATCCTGTGTTAAGAGACAGACACTTTAACCACCAGGCCCCGACGCTTCCCTTGAAAAGATATTGAATATAAAGATATGTGTCACTTATTCGATGCATGCGCCTCTATGTTTTAGAATAAACAAAGAAGGAATAAGTTATACCGATTATTTTCACCTTTCGATGACTCAGTTTTCATAAAATTGAGTGTGACAAGTTTTTGCATTTTATAAAGATCCAATATAAAACAGAGTTGGATAAAATCTGTATATAACGTGAAATAGAGCTAATATTTTGAATAGTTTAGTATTTTCGTTGGATACAACGGGCCTCTGTAGTTTGATTTCTACAATACAGTCATAGGTTTGTACTTAGGGAGAAAATCTTAAATGTGCACTCTTCAGTGACTTCATAAAGGACGGACACAAAGTTTGGCAAAAAGACACTTTTGGACGTAAGCATTAGGTACTTTAATAAGTAATTATTTTATGATAGATGCCATAAAAGTTAAAAACAATTATTTGGTGAATTTTGATATCTGGTAACTATGTAAACTTTTTTAAAATGACATTTACTTTATTTGATGAATTAAATTGTTGTAAGAGATATTATGGTGGCTGATTTCTGCCATTTCGTGTTTTCGTTTCTGAGCCCCGAAAGTCGAAAAGCGAAAACACGAAAACATAGCTCTTTGTTGTTATTTCGACTTTCGCCTTTCGGGCGAAGACACAAATACACTAAACATTCTAGGCGAAATAACGAAACTTGAACACGCGAAGGGACAAACATTTCATTGTTTAAGTTTTCGTGTCGGCAGGGCGAAATCTTTCGTGCCCGCGCCCTTTGTTTGTCGTGTCTTAGTGTCTTTGCATTGAAAAGTGAAGGTCGAAATAACGAAAATACGGCAGATTTTCGTCTGGTCGTGATTTCGTCCCGAAACGCGAAAGTCGAAATAACGACAATGTTTCGGGTTTCGCTTTCCGGTAGGCATGTGCAGAACGGTAAACCCAAATGATCGACCAAACTTCTATCAAACAAAGTCTGGTAAAATAAAGAGTTCCAGTATACGGAATCCGGAACACAGGATATTCTCCGACACGGAAACACGAAATGGCAGAAATCAGCCACCATAGGATGCTTATTAATATCCTACGCAGTGATCGCCCCTTACCAGTACAGAGATCTCTGCCATCACAAACATTTAAATATCAATATTTTGATATTTTATATTTTTTAGCTTTTTTAATATATTTGTCATCGTTTTGTATACTTGTGATATTTTTTTGGATAAAATATAGCGGACGTAGGTGCGAAAAGTTAAAAATAAAACAGAAAGAGAAAAATGACGTTAGATCTTTTATGGAACGGTCGATATTTACATTTGAATTTCGACGTTACGTCATGTGACTTTCATCCTCATGCGACGTCTGTGAAGGCAGTGATTACATTTCTGCCATGAGAGGTTATCACTATGAGGAGTTTGGGATACTTATATATCAACTTGAAATGTCTGAAATTGTATTACACTAATAACTACTGTACACAATATCGAAATGTTACGCATTTAAATATAGTAGGTAAGGTTTATCATTTTGACAGTATCCCTTTTAAATAAAACCATTAGAAATATCAGATGTGGGAATATTATGCTCTATGACATAGCAATACTGTCGTAAATGTCATTTAAAGGCATGCCTACTGCGCTCAGGACTTAAGCTCACCAAAAATGATCGTCTGATGAAAACATATCAAATGAATCAAAAGTTATACAAAGTCTAACCTTAACTCCAAATAACGTTCTAACTTTCACCCTCAATGCAAATGTTGCACAAGGTAGGAATCCCATAAATGGCGTCTCCCCTAGTCGTATTGCTGCCATATATTTATGATAATACCAACAACAGTACAAACTGCATTCTGAAATATTAAATGTAATTGTAGGAGTTATCTATGGTAGCTAATTTGTGCCATTCGTGTTTTAGTTCCGCGATCCCGCCAAGCGAAAAGTCAAGAATTGACGAGTTTAAATGGGGGCGCGGAGCGAAAAGTCGATAATTAATGGGGGCGCGGGGCCAAGTTGCCCATTTGGGGGTTTTAACCCACGCGCATCAGTTGCAATACAGTTGACAGTGATTCTAGCCTATTCGAATACTCTTCAAAGTTGAGGTAATGAATTAGGGGTGATCTACATTCAGTCCGTGTCGCCTTGTTATCATTTTAGCAGCAAGATGACTACTGTGACATAGCGACTGGCTTGGTCGAAAATATTTCCTAAATATTAAAACATCGACTTTTTATTCCCCCACTCAGTATGGGGGATTTAAATTTTTTACTTGTCTGTCCGTCCCAGAACCTATAGTGCCCCATAAATAATATAGGCAGGGTCATGAAATTTTACATGAACGATTGTCAACATAATTTTAGTGTGCACCTGGGGTTTCGCTTGTCGATTCGGGCAGTAATGCCAGAGTTATTGCCCTTGACTCAAATCAGAAATTGTCAACTTGCGTCGCGTGTAGCTTCAACAGTTTTTGAACTTGGGGCATGGTCATGGAACTTAACATGAATGTAGTTGTTCATCTGAGGTTAAGCTCACACACATGTGACGTATACGTTTGTATTTTCATTTTTAAGCCGCATTTTGGTAAGTGAGAAATACGTTTTGGTAAGCATAGAACAACTCAATTCAACCGAATATGGCACATTTCACGTTCCATTTTTGGCTGGAAGGTATGCCATATTCGATCGAATATTTCACACGTGTGACAAATTCGAACCGAGTGTCATACACGGCCCACACGGCGCAAATCTGGCAATTTCTTTTTATCTCCGTGTAAAGTTGCTGGATTCAGTACTATATATGACAGTTTAATTCATTTCATAATTAAAAACACATTTTAGGTTACTTTATGCCTATGATATAACGGTTTTAATAATATTTGGAATAATGATAAATATGACTTATTTCGCTTGAAGAGATATTATTGATTGTAAAGCAAAAAAAATGAGACAGTTTTTTATAAAACTAAATGAGGCAATTTGAGTTCAAACTAAATTACCAGGAAAATAAAAGAGAACTACGCCAATTGTTGCTTTTAAGGAATAGCATAAAAATAGTTATAGATATATGTTAGCATACTTGTTTGAATTACCCTCCTCACAAGAACACAGTTTTGTTTTTCCAGTCTCTTTCACTTAGTGTGTCATCAAAAAGACGCCGTTGTTACCATTCGACCTTGAGCTTTACTGTTTGACCTTTCAGTCTTAGGTTGAGCTGTCACAGGGCTTTCATCACTGGCTGTAAAAGAACCACCTGTCATCACAACTGTTTCATCATTTTGAGCTGAAACGATCATTAGCGGCATATTAATATTTTAACTGGCTGAACCTCCACAAGCCTCTTTAACCATTTTTCATTTTAAAGGGACTCCCCTGAGTTTATTTTTACATACTGACACTGGAAATATTTCCCGATGTTTATAAACCATTTTATGTGAGTCCGAACCAATACATGTTATTTGTGTGCAACATTGTAGATCATTCCTTTCCTCCGCTTTTCCAGAATAATAGTTTTTAATGTGAAAAATGACCAAAAGATAAAAAAGAGCTACAATACTTTTCACTCAGATGTGTTATATTCAGGGAGCATTTAAGAAATAAATAGATAAATAAATAAATAAATAAATAAAGAATACAATTAATTTCATTCCTATTTCAAGTATGGTAAAGCAGGTAGTTTGATATACTTCATTCATCTTGGTATGAAGCATTAAATGCAGCATCAGCTGCAACAACAAAACATACAACAGCAACAACAACACGATTTCTTAAGCAAGTAGGTACAAGTTAAATGTTGATGCTGTTCAAAGACGCCGCCAAACGATGTGGTTACCATGTTATTGGTATGTGCTCGTTGTTCAATAATAAATTTGCATATTTTGTGAAAAAGTAGAACCTTATGCATAAATTTACAAAATGATGCCAGGTCTGAAATTCTTGAATGTTTGTAAGTTGCAACAAAGACTGAAACGTCTGGTCGATTCAAAATAAATTGGATAACAAATAGAATTGAAATGATTGGTATACTTAAAATAAATTTCAGACAATATGTGCCGAGAATATACCCATTTAAATATTGGTACTAATTGCATAATGTTCGAATAATTTTTTTAGGACAAACTGTTCTGCAGAGATCTCCCCTAACAGGCCGAAAACGTAACCGGTTTGTTGTACTATCTTAACGGTTGAGTGAGAACCGCTTCTCTGATAGTGGGCGTGGTTTAGGCTTTGTAACTGTAATTAAAATGATTCGACAAGTGATATTGATCAAAGTTGTCCTGGTTCCTTCTACCCTGTCACGACGAAGACTAAATGCTAGCATATGGAGCATAAAATATCAAATTTAATATGACAATTTAAGGCGGAGCCGAACTTCAACAGAGGCGAAGGAAATGAAGAGAATGACACTGCCTCAGTTGTCACCTCTCTCAACGGTTAAGTGTCAGAACGATCGACTATCGACTGCCTCATTGGCACATTATTTATTATGTAAAAAATTTAGATAATGATAAAAAAATATGATATTGCAACATGGCACTATCACTTCAGTTAAACGTTTATTCTAATCCCTTAAAGCTCTGTGACATGTTGTACATCATAAAAGCTATTTTTATTAGAAAATTAAAAAAACAAGGTGACTTTGTTAAAACAAAAAAATACACAAAATTAAGTCTAAAATTGTCCCCATTACTGTATAGACAAATGCATATCTACTAGACGCCGCTTGCAAGCGGCGTCTAATAAAAACACTGTTATCCACGAGACGTGCACGAAACATGAAATATTCACATCATCTAAAACCTCAAGTATTACACTTCTCCAAAACATCTGTTACGTAATCAGTATCAAAATAATCAGTCTGATTCAAACAACACCTTTTAATAGTTAAACATAAACTATAGATGTTATCTATATGAGTATATATGGTGGCATATTTCTGCCATCAGATAACCTGATAATTAACTAGTTAATTATCAGGTTAACTAGTTACGTAACTAGTTAACCTCTTAATTAACTAGTTAATTATCAGGTTAACTAGTTACGTAACTAGTTAATTTTTTCAATAAAGAAAAGATCATAACGGGAAAAAATGCATGTTAGTGCCTGCAAACTGCCATCCCTTATTGTCAGCTTAATATTAAGAGGTTAACTAGTTACGTAACTAGTTAACCTGATAATTAACTAGTACAATTAAATAGGTTAACTAGTTAAATAAAACTTAACTAGTTAACCTCTTAATTAACTAGTTAATTATCAGGTTAATAGTTACGAAAATACCTAAAACTAGTTAACCTAATACTTAACTAGTTAATTAATCAGGTTAACTAGTTACGTAACTATTAACCTTGATAAAATAAATAGTTAGTTAAGAGGTTAACTAGTTACGTAAAAACGTAACTAGTTAACCTCTTAATTAAACTTGTTATTTATTAGGTTAACTAGTTAGGTATTTGACCGTAACTAGTTAAACCTCTTAATAACTAGTTATGTATCAGGTTAACTAGTTACGTTTTTTAGTAACTAGTTTAACCTCTTAATTAACTAGTGAATTATCAGGTTAACTAGTTACGAAAAATACCTAACTAGTTAAACCTAATAACTTAACTAGTTAATTATCAGG